TGTGTGTGTGTGTGTGTTTATGTATGTGTTTGTGTGCGTGTGCGTGTGTGCGTGTCTATATGCGCGTGCGCGCACGTGTGAGTGTAGTCTACCTTTACATCAATGGCGCCACGATGCTCGATAGTGTACTTGTTGATGCCCTGCAGTTCGTTCTTCGTTGTTTCGCTGATGTGTACCATCATCGGCTGAAGAAATAAAACACGCCAACGAGTCATGTCAACGTAATGTTAAATCTCCGTGGATAGCGGCTCGAGAACCGCAACATGCACGTTTTCATGATAATGGTACGGATGTTTACAGTTCCGTTAGCAATATTGATGACTAATAATTTGTTATGTGTATAATTTTTAATGTGTATAGATAATACACAGTATTATTTACTCGTTCGCACAATATATAATTTCAACTCAGAAAACAGTTAGCGTAAATATCTTTTATTGGTAATCTGTACTAAGAACCTTGGGACCAGTTGTGAAAAACAGGTAGTTATTACATAATAAGCATAAATAGCCATATATACCTTTTGAAGTGTTGTGACATTTTATACTTATGATGACCCCAGCTATTTATGAAGTTTTTGACAAAGGGCCTCTCAAATCGGTGACAATCCAGAGAAAGTGACCACATTCTTTAGTTGTGGTAAATTACTAGGTCTACGACGTGCGCATCGATTGCAAGAGCTGCTGACGCTATGGGGATACAATCATATAGTAAGTTTATACCTCTCCGTTTGATTCCATGCGGGAGGCTGTGTTGACCGTATCGCCAAAGAGGCAGTAACGAGGCATCTTGATTCCCACTACTCCGGCAACGACCGTTCCCGAGTGAATACCTGTGAAATAAAGCAGCAATGTTGCAATCACTGGTTTTCATATCGGACTCATAGTGAGTATATGCCATGTACTTTAATTGCAATCAATTAACTCTATAAATTTAATAATTATAATTAAAAAAAGAACAGAACTTTTAGCGTATATTGGGCAGTGGCCTATACACATCCCACCTATGCTACAGCACAGGAAAATTCTGGAAATCTGGGGGCCTTATGATTGTTCCCGTGTAAGATTGGTATAACGACTTTTCTACGTTCAACTACTGAGAGTACGTACCCTACTGGTTTTCTGTACTTTAAATATGCAATACAAACTATTAGCTGCGTCTTTACGTTATTTCGGCGGATAGATCCCAACTATTGTACACGAGTATAGTCGCGTTCACACGGTCATGGTTTGGCTCGAGCCAAATGGGTCAAATTTGGCTCGGGCCGGTTTGAGTCGGAGCGTTCACACGTACGCAAGTGAATACTGTCTGTCAAATTCAAATTCAAATTCAAATAAATTTTATTGCACAAATATCTCACAGATAATTTGGCAGTATGTCGCGAGATGGCGTTGTTTACGATTCAGTGTTTACTTACGTTCCGAGTTTAATTATCAATGAGAAAACGTGCATCCTGATCAAATTTTTCGAATTTCTATACTGTTTTGGACTTTATTTCGTCGAAATACACGTTCGACACTCGCGGCATCTACCGCTCAACCGATTATACCGCTCTACCGCTCGCCGAAAGCTGGTGCTAAAATTTGGCTCGGGCCTGGTCCGACGTTTTCGATGGGACTAAATCTGGCACGGGCCTAATTAGGCTCGGGCCAAAAACGTCCGTGTGAACGCTCGGCTCGAGCCTAATCTGGCGCGGGCCTAATTAGGCTCGGGCTAAAAACGTCCGTGTGAACGCGCCTTATGTTTTCTGCTATTTATCCAGCATAGGCCAGCTTTGCTCACGCTATAGGTAGCCACGGGTAACTGTAGCATCTCTCATCGATAACGCAATATAGAGGTGCATGTCAGTTACGCATCACACAATCGTTTGTAGATGTTCATGCTGATTACATGTCGTTACTGAACCAACGAACGATGAGGACGCATTGGAGAAAATGGGTTATAATAGATAATAAACAAATCACGAGATCATCGATCAAATTCATAGAGCAATCGGTTGTTAATTCGAAATGCACGGTGCATGGTCATTCTTATGTGGCGTTTAACGTTTGGGGACAGGGTTTATTTTCAGCGAATGCATTTTTTTGTTATGAATGCGCTGACAGAGAGTTTTTCACGCGGGGTTTCATTGGGATGCAGTCCAGAGTATATTGGAGAGCTTGTTCATTGGTCAGCAGTGACGTCATCAGACCAATTTAAAAATGTTCATCGTGATTGGTCATGTCTCAGATTTATACACAGTCAAGAGTACGCACGTAAGACGTATATATTATGAACAATTATCTCTATAACAGCTGATGTGCTATGGGCGGTGTGTGACAGGGGTGCGTAGAATATCGGACTCGATGGTAACATGTTGACTAACCCGTCGAGATGATGAGTTGTTACGGACCTTCACAGATAACGTAATCGCAGGCTCCCGTCGGCACCAGCTACATATACGCTAATGTACATGTGAATGGCACTCGCTGTTGCCAGCCGAGATAGTTCTCTTCGGCCGATCTTATGCAATTAACACGGACAGGGGTATGGCCACGACAGTATGGTAAAATCCTTCACAGAATTCTCATTTTGACCGTAGCATCCCGCCACAATCCTTTTTTTTATGCTAAAGTACATAAGAATGCCGCTCGTGTCGCTGGTCGGGTTGCCAACCAAGATCATTTCGGCCAAACCTATGCGTTCAAAATGGGCAGGGGTATGCTTTGGAGAGTTGTGCATGGTAAAATCCGCCATAGAATTTTAACTTTGTCCGCAGCATCCTGCCCCAATCCTTTTCCTATGCTAATGTACATAGGAATGGCGCTAGCGTCGCTGGTCGGGGTGCCAGCCAAGATAATTGTCTTCGGTCGATCTTATGCGCTCAAATGGGTAGGAGTCTGCCCCGGAGAGATGTGCATGGTAAAATCCGTCCAATAAATTTCAATTTGTTCTCAGCAGTCCGGCACAATTCTGCACCTATAATCAGCGTACGGCACACAGTACATGCTCCGCACACACACACCTCTCGCCAAAGGCAAACTGTGGGTTAATGCTGACCTGCTATTACACACACATGCACATGCACACTCACGTGCGTGCGGCGCACTCACACTCCCTCCACCCACACACAGGCACACACACACGCACACACACACACACACACACACACACACACACACACACACACACACACACACACACAACCGATAGGGACCCCAACAACCAATTTTGAGCAGAATCAATAAAACCCTAAGCATATGATATCTCACTGTTTACTAACCACCATAATAGAATACTAGACGCGTTGCTTTGTTTACGATGAACGGAAAGGCAAACTAAGAATACCAGTGATACGTTTGCCATCCTATAGTTCGCACATGACCGCAATACAAAACCACACGTAAAAGCAAAGAAGGAGCGAATCAGTTACAGTATTTTCGTAGTTTATATTTTGTCCAAAAGGGTAACGCGCGTGATATTTACGGTATCGTGGTCAGTTGAACTCGTCGCCAATAGAGGCACTCGCCCGCGACGCGTGTGAAAGGCGTCTAGGCGGTGCGAAGAACTAATTACTCACACGTACCTGTCCATACACCTATAACTGCCAGCTGACAACAACGGCAGCGCCATGTCACCGCTAGAACAGCTGTGTCATGGGCGGCGAGTCAACGCAAGATATGCCACGCGTGTACAAGCTATACCCAGTATAGATATTCCTATACGTTAGCTATTATCGGCAGCTGTGTAACTATTAGCTGTAACCGCATAACAATTACTAAGTAGCTAGTACGTAGAAGGAAATGTTGTGTTAGTATAGCTATTTCTGATTGCTCGGAGTCTTGGTATTATTATAAGCGTTTGCTGAGTTTACTCGTATGACATGTAGATGGCGTAGAATTCGCCATAGCGGTTTGCAAGAGCTGCATAAAGGAGATTTTTTTCTCGTTTGCCGCTGATAAAAAAAATCCAAAGTAAAAGTATCTAGCAGATTCGATTTGGAAGCTGGCTTGATTTGAAGGATCGCGGTCGGAGATGGATGGATTTCCGTCAGTGCGAACGCAAATGCATGGTTTACCGACGATGATGACTATCGTAGTTTGTCCAACCATCGCGTATGTCGCTGGCACAATGTGAGTAAAGGGCGCAGGCGTTAGGCCAGTCCCGGATCGAGAGCGATTGCGGATCTAACAACTTCGTGTAAGGGCTTTGCTTTTATGATTAAACTTGCAATCGTTTTCCATAAACTGATAGGGCGCAATGATGAGCACGCGCGCGTTCACGCACACTCACACACGCGCGCGCGCACACACATACACACACACACACACACACACACACACATACACACACACACACACACACACACACACAC